GGTCTCCACTCCACCTTCCACTGAACCTGTTCAAGTAAACGGCACAGCAGGACTTCAAGTTATCAAATCCTAGACATTCTTTGGTCCTCATGTTACTTGATTCCTTCTCAACACTGGAAACTACTGATCTCTTGAAACTCTCTCCTGCCTTGGTTTCCATGATCCTGCTTTTTTTCCCACATCTTTTCCCATTTCTCTGACTGTTACTTTTTGGTCTCCTCTTTCCTGTCTGTGTTGCTGTACTTTCAGAATTATTGCACACCCCTGAGCTGTTTGAACAACTATGATATGCTGCTGATTTCTAATCCATATCGCCATTGCTCCTACCTACAGGATGCCCTTCAAACTCACTATGTCCAGGGGCTTCCCTAGTGATCCAGTGGGTTAAGAATCCACCTTGCAATGCAAGGAACACTGGCTCGATTCCTGGTCAGAGAACTAAGATCCCACATGCCTTGGAGCAACTAAGCCTGCAAACCACAGCTAGAGAGTCCATGCGCTGCTATAAAAGATCACGAGTGCTGCAATTAAGACCCAAACCAAGACCTGATGCAGCCAAATAAATAAACAGAGAACAAACTCAGTGTGTCCAATGATGAACTCATTATCTTCCTTCCAAGCTTGCTCTTGCTAATCTGCTGAATGAAGTCACCACGTAACCAGTCACCCAAGTCAGATTATGCTGGAAACATGATGGGCATCTCCATTTCTTCCCCACTTCTCACATCCAACCAATCTTGTAGCTTCTACCTGTTTAAAATGTCTTGAATTTATTTTTTCCCCATCTCCATTGCCGCTGCCTAGGGTCAGGTCCTCCTGGTCTTTCTGTCTGAGCTACTGGAATTGTCGCCTCTTTGGTTTTCTTACCACCAGTCGTGCCTTCCTCCAACCATCTGCACAAAGTTTAAGTTCATTTACTTCAACAAAGTGGTCTTCCTATAACACACATATGATCAATTTACCCCCACTCCCTGCTTAGAACCCTTCCAGGAGTACCAGAGAAAGGGACACTTCCAAGTGGATTTCCACATCTGTCTCTCTCTCCCACATTACCTTTCAGCTCCACCACCAGCCCCCCTTCACCCTGCACCCTCTGGTGTGCTGTCATGCCTAAACATCTAGCAATTTCACCTTGGTGTCTTACTCATACTGCTTCCTCTGCCAGGGATAATTTCTGCCTCCCTCTGTCCCACATAGGCCTGACTATCCAAGGAACACCCTTAGATCTTCCAGGAGTCAGCTGGAGCATGGTCTCTTTGTGATCTTTCCCATCTCCTTAACCCTGCAGAGCTGCATCATTCAAGCCCTCTGGAGTGCCCCTGCTGAACCTTCATGTGTGTGTGGTACAGCACATACAACATGTTGTGCCTTTTTCCTCATGCTCATCTTTATTAGACTGTAAATTCCACGAGGACAAGGACTATGACTTATCCATGTTTATAAGTTAGGCCATATGTACCATAGGTGCTCAATACGCACTTGCAGAATGGTTGACGATGAGCTATTGCCTTCTTGGAATGAATGACCCTGCTGCTCACCAAGGCAAACTGTGCTGAATCCCCTAGGAGGTGGAGTGTCTTGGTGTGTCATGACCAAGTCAGCAGCTGTGACACTGGGTGGTCTAATCAGTAGAGCCTGGGGAGTAAGACTTTTTCCTAGAGAAGTAAATCCTGGGAGCTCTGGGGAATTCCATGACAAAAGGACAGAGCAAGGCAGATGAGTAGTTCATAGAATGTGATGTGGGTCCAGTCCTAGGCTTCAGGAGGCTTACAGAAATGGACACTTTGCTGAGACCTTCAGGGATGGGAGCAGAGCCAAGCTGTGGGAGGGAGCACGGGGAGAGTTGGCGGTCTGTCTCTATACAGCTTGGGATGTAAAAGGGAAGGTATATGCATCTTCTGGTAAAGTTTTGACTTGAGGAGATGCTGAAAACTCTCAGGAATAGGGTGTGAAGAATATAACTCACTGCTCCCCATCCCCATCAAGTCTAATTTCTCACCATCAGCTGGCTCTTGAAGAGTAGTCCCTGGAAAAGCACGAGATGCTGTGATGTTGAAGAGGCACAGGATCAGTAAGCTAGAGTTCAACACTTAATTAGATGTGAGCTCCGGCAAGTGGCTTACCCTCCCTTGGTCTCAGTTGCTTCATTGGTAAATTGCACACACCCTGACATGCCTCAACTACTTCACAGGATTATAGTCAAAGTCAATTCACCATCATCACAATAGCTGTTCTTTTTATATCACTTCCTATGTGTCAGAGACTGTGCCAAGTGCTTACAGACGGTATCTTCATCCATTCTCACAATATCTCTATGAGGCAGAACTAATATCAGCTCCGTTTTACAGATGAGGGAATCAAGGTTTAGGGAGGTAAAATAGCTTGCCCAAGTTAAATGCTCTCAAGTGAGCTGGCATTCAGTCTGCGGACCCAGTCTTATGATTCCCTGGGCTGTGCCTTCAGCTATGGACCATCCTTGTAAACCAGGGGTAAAGCAACCACAGGTCCCCTCTGGGACTCCTGGTCTTGCAGCCACAAGACAGCACTTAGCAAGGTATAGGGGAGGACAGTTCCTCCCTCCTTGGCCTGATGATGTGCTCCTGAGGGGGTCAGCTTTTCCTTCCCAATCACAAGAGTTGGTGAATGTCCTGTAGTATAGTGTGTCCCCATTTTTCATGTCTACTCAGAACCTGTGAATGTGATCTTATTTGAAAATAGGAACTTACACAAATGCAATCAAGTTACAATGATCTGAACTCATACTGGATTAATTGGTGTCTTTAAGAGAGAGAAATTTGGACACAGATGCAGACCCAAAGGGAAGAGAGCCATGTGAAGATGGAAGCAGAGATTGAAGCTATGCTTCCCCAATCCAGGGAACACTAAGAATTCAGGGAACTTCCAGAAACCAGAGACAAGAAAGGACTTTTCTCTAGAGCCTTCAGAGAGAGGATAGGGTTCTGACACCTTGGTTTCAGACTTCCAGCTTCCAGTACTGAGAGAATAAATTTCTGATCTTTAAGCCACTCAGTTCATGGTATAATACCCTGAGACAGTCCTAGAAACTAACTTTACACTGTAGGGCTTCCCAGGTAGCGCAGTGGTAAAGAATCCACCTGCCAATGCAGGAGATGCAGGTTCGATTCCTGGATTGGGAAGATCCTCTGCAGGAGGAAATGGAAAACTTCTCCAATATTCTTGCCTGGAAAATTCTATGAACAGAGGAGCCTGGTGGACTGCAGTCCATGGGGTTGCAAAGAGTCCCACATGACTGGGTGATGAGCACGTGAGCACGCAATCTTACACTGTGCCCACCACAGCTGGGAATCCTAAAGGGCAGGTGGAACAGAGTTTGGGAGATCAGTTAAATAAAATAGAGGGGAGGGGATGCCCATTTTGGGGGATGAACACTTATAAGACTACATAGAGGCAGAGCACTATAAAAATAAGGTGTTTGATCATTCAGTTACTGACCAATGTGTAGACAGTGCCTCTATAAAACTTTGCATATGTGTGTTTGTGTGTGAGTGGTGTCTGGAATATCTGCAGTCCAGTTTTTTCTTTACATTAGGAGGGGCATTCTTCAGGTTGGTAACAGCTTTGAAGGTGAGGATTCCATCTGAGGAGCTCCACCTTCCCACTCCCACCCACCTTTGGTCATTCTCTCCACCTCTAAATCTCATTTGATGAGACTCTGCTTATGGGGGTTAAAAAGTCTGTCGAAGTTTTCATGCCAGTTAGTAAGAAAACGAGAATTCAGATCCAGAACTCTGGGTCCTCATGTCCTTGTCATGATTTCAAGCTCTTTTTCAAGATAAGAAAAGTGAATATTTTCAAAAAGATATGAGCGATTCAGTTTACTGTTTATAAGCATTTTCCCCTAAATTTGAAAGTAACAGTAGCTTATCTGCAAAATATTTAAAAAATACTGAAATGTTTAAAGAAAAAGTAAAAAAAAAATTATTCCAGTGATAACTACAGATAATACTAAGTTCATATCAGTCTTTTTTCCTTGCAGTTATATAGTATCAACAAAATCAGAACAATACTATAAGTAGTTTTGTATTTTGCTTTCTCATTTAGCATTATCTCATGAATCTCTCCTCACATCATTATTTTTACAAACATAATTTTTAATTAGTAAATAATGTTTCATCGTATAGATGGGGCATAATTTATTTGTTTTCTATACTGAGTATTTGTTTCCAGCTTTTACAGTGATAAACATGCAATAGTTAACATTTCTCACAAATACCTATCCTCATCTCTATTATTGCTTGAAGATAGGAGACTGGGGTATGAACATTTTAAGACATTTGATACATAATGCCAAATTGTTTACCAAAAGGTTTCTACCTACTAACAGCATGCGAGTGCTTCACGAAGCACCCTCACCAAGACTGAGTACTGTCATGAAAAAGCCCTGTACATTCTAGGAAGGGGCATCCCATGATTCGATCACACAGGTGGCTGTGCGTCCTGCGCATCGCAGGGGGCGACTGGGGCTGGGAGACTAATTAGGAGATGGTTACGACGATCCCAGTGGGACGTGATGGGCGCTTGAGGCTAAGCAGTAGGCACGAAGGAAAAGGGAACAAGCGCACGGGACTCGTAGAACGTTCCTTGCGAGGGATGGGGGCCGGTGCTGATAAGATCACGCCGCGCTGCGGGGGGTGCAGAACTGGGCGGAGGCCGTGTGTAGGGCTCGGCCTCTGCGCCGCGCTTGGCACCCAAGGGTGAGGTTGGCCGAGGCGCGAACCCCTCCCACCCCTTTAACGGGGACACTCCCCTTTAAGGCGGGCGCCCGCGCGCACCCGGCCCCGCCCTTCGGGGGCGCGCGCGGCGGCCGCGGCGCCGGCTCCGCCGGGAGCGCACGTGCCGGCGCCGGGTGGAGGAGAGGGAGGCGGGAGCCGGGCCGCGGGAGGAGGGGAGGCGCCGGGGGCGCGCGCGCGCGCGCTGGGCGCTGCTGGGCTGCGGCGGCGGCGGCGGCGGCGGTTACTATGGCGGAGTCGGCCGGAGCCTCCTCCTTCTTCCCCCTTGTTGTCCTTCTGCTTGCCGGCAGCGGCGGGTCCGGGCCCCGGGGGATCCAGGGTGAGTCCCAGGGCGGGGGCGGGGGCCGGGATGGAGCGGGCCGGGCGAGGGCGAGGCCTCGCGCCGCGGCTCCTGGCTACAGCGCGCCCCCTCCCCACGCGCACAATATGGCCGGGCGGGGGGCGCGGGGGAGTCGCGGTGACCCCCCACCCGGGTCGGCTTCCCCCGATCCCCGAGGCGCGGCCGCTCGGCCGGGACGGAGCTCACGCCGGGCCCCTAGGGACCCGAGCCGTTTCCCAGGAGGGACTGGATTCGGGGAGCTCTCGAGGGTCGCGCTCCCAGCACCCCTATGTTCCATAGAAGGGAGTGCAGGCTTCCTTCCCCGAGATTTGGAGATCCACGTTTCTGCCGCTCAGCATGTCCAGGGGCGGGGGTCTTCATTCCCTCCGTGCAGATGCTCCAGCGTTTGGGGGGGGGGGGAACGCGCCTTTTCTCCCGCCAAGATTATGGGGCTTCGGCGATAGGGTCTTTGCCTCTCCGAGGTATCCTGACGTTGAGAGCCCTTGCGCACCATAGATAAAAGGGGAAGGGGGTCTTCAGCCTTTCCGTCAGCTCCCTCCTGCAGTTGGGGTGCTTCTTCTCCTCCCTCTCCTTCCTCCCTGACGTTCTGGGAAAGCGAGTCACATTTCCCCCTCGGGCAGTCCCTTGAGTTCAGTGGGGCCAACCCCCCACCTCCAGTCCACATGCCCCGGGGAAGCTCGGTGGAGGAAATGGGACGAACAGGCCCCTATCTGGAGCTTGGCTTTAGAATCTCTCTAACCCTAGGAAACCTAGCTCTAGAACGGTTAATCTGCATCTAGGTGTATTTGCTTTCTCCCTCGCCACTCCCACCCCACCTCAGGGGGTCCATTCAGTTGGTCACTGTGGATGCCTTTCAGGTGACATCGTCGAACTGCCCCCCACCGCCAAGATTAGGACCCCACCACCAGACCAGCTCCTGGCCCTTGGTCAGGATTTATTTACCTTCCCACACCAGCGCTCTTCCCAGCCCTTCCCCCTACCTCCTCCCCCACCCTTGCACACCCCTCACCTTCCAACTCCCACAGCCTTCTGCTCCCTGGTAGCACCCCCATCCTTCTCACTATCGAAGTGGTACCTTTCTGTGGGACACTCAGTTGGGTGTCTCGTTTGTGAGGCTATACGGGCTTGAGGAAAGCAGATGAAACCCTAAAATATTTAAGGGAGTCGTCTCAACCCTGTGCTGGCATTAGTGTAGCAGATGAAGGTTATATTTGGCCTTTATATTGGAGTGATTATTGACCCACCGTTGGATCCGGGAGAGACAGTCAGGACTGTGTTTGCTCCCGATGTACAAAGCCTGCTGCTCTGACTTCTCAGCAGCCCCTAACCTAGCAGTGGGGGATCAAGTGTGTGTTCCGTGGCTCTCTTCTCTCCACCAAAAAATGATGGTTCTCAGGTGGGTTCAGGCTTCTTTCAGAAATGAGACAATCAGCCAAAGACTTGATCTCATTTTGGCATCTCACAAACAAGTTCATTCCCTCCAGCCTTAATGTTTGTTTCCAGTGGTGCAGCCTGTGTGGTGGGGTCTTTGTTCACTGGTTAATGCTTCTGCTAAGGCTGTCATGTGTGTTCCTGGATCTTGCTGCTCTGTGGCAGAGGTAACGCGCTGTGGGGTCGGATAGATGTGGTGAAGGTATGTGAACACAGCCTGACATTCGTGGTAAGTTAATGGTTTTCATGAATAATGTACGCTGGGCCTTATTTTGGGGCCATGTTTTTGGAATGTGTATCGTGATGTTATTTCTCTAGTTGGGTAGTAAATGAGATTCCGTCAGGTTTGTCATTTTACATGTGTATGAATAAATCTGTAAATTCCTTCCTTAGGAATTTTTATCCTGTTGCTAATATATCTGAGGTTCTTAGCCATTTCCCTGTTGGTTTGGTGTAGTGTCTGGTGGGGTATTTCTTGTTGTCATGAGCCTAGTTAAGAATGTTTAATTGATGATCCAACTGGTTCTGAACGGGGCAGGTTCATTTTTTGTAACCTTCCCGAAATGGATGTTTGTTGGGGTGAGGATGGGTGGGCATAGTAGGGAGTTGGTTTCTTTTTTTGGTTAATTGGAAATTAGGTTGTGTATCCAGCAAACATTCTCGAAGGCCTTCAAACTTGGCCAGACACTACAGTTTTTTCCGGGACACATCTCGTTGCCAATAGTGCATGCTACAGAGACCACTGTTGCAAAAGGCTTAAGAGTGAAGCATCAGTTCTGGGAATATAGAGGCTGTGAGATAACAAGAAGTTGATTGCTGTCCTCCCCACACTTCCTCTGTCGTGCTCCCCTAGGTGGGCCGGGAGGAGCAGCAGGGCCAGGCAGCCCTGATGCCTGTGAAGACAGGATGTGAGGACAGCAAGGGATAGATGTCTGTGTTAAATAGTGAACTAGTAGCCACTTAGTAAAAGGCCAGTGGTACAGAGCTATAAACTGCATCCATTTAATAGGTGGACCAAATTCTAAGGCCTACTTTTGGCATTTTCACTTTAGTATTTAAAAATGTAAAGCTGAATTAGTAGCAGGAGAACATGACACTGATTTTCTTAAAACAAAAGCTACAAGGGAGACATTTGAGGTTCTGATGGGAATATTTTGAATTTCTGTGATTAAACCAAAAATTTAATCTCAGGCCAAGTCTTATACTTTTGTTGAGTGGACATGAATTTGAAATACAGCAGAAGTGAACTCTTGTAGAGAAAAAGAGAATCTCCGATTAGTTTTGTTAAGAGCTCCTGGAACAGATGTGATTAACACAATAAAATGGCTACTCTGGTTAAAGGTTAGAGCCAGGTTGGGGGAGGAGGCTGCTCTCCAGCCCCAGAACTTTGCTCCCTGACAGGTTGTCCTTGAGTCAGGCACTTCACCTTTCTGTGGCTGCCTCAGTTTTGCCTCCTTGAAGTAAAGAACTGGTCTGTGTCTCTCTTATTGGGACATTTGTGAGACTGACTTACTGACAGCCAGTTGGCTGGGTGGTATTTTTAGACACAGTTTCTGACTTCAGTGAACATGCAATGTTGCGTTACTTTTTATCTTATGGGGCAGAGAGTAACTCCTGGGTTTGAGAGAAGCAGCACATGTCACAATGTGGTTAATTTGTTCTCTGTTGCATTTTTGTGGACCCCTGTCAGATTTCCTCAAGTTAATTTCTGTCTCTTGACAAGCCCTCACATTCTAGACCTGGCAGCATACCTGTGCTAATCAAAGACAGTCTGGAGGGAGTGACCTGCTTTAGGCTTTATTGGTTTGGCAATGCTTTCATTCTTACGCAACTCTGGGTATGTTTATGGCACTATGTAAATGTTACATAAGAACATGGAGGCAGAGAGGTGGCCGGAATGGTGCCTGTGAACACAGGAAGGTTAGACTGAGGACTTCATCCAAAAGGACCTTGGGAATCTGCAGTCAGTAAAAAAAGAAGCTGCACTTTGTTTTCCTCTAAAAACCTTTTTAGATGATTGTGTCTTTCAGGTGGACTGCTGTGTTATAAATAGGTTTATTCGCCACCGGTGAGCTAATTGTAACCTTGCTACCAAAATATGAATCAGGAGACAAGGAGACGATGGGGCGTGCTGCTTCTTCCAGCATGGCCTGTTGAAGCTGCTTGTTGCATTTTGGAACAGGAGTTGAATTGCGTTGCAGCCTCAGCCTGTTCTCATAATAACTCAGGAGCACAGGGTGTTGAGGTGGAATGGAATTCTCAGTCTGCAGTGCTTGAGATCTTCTTTATTTTTGAAGGTTAAATTAGAATCCTGAAGTGGCTCTTTTGTTTTAATTTTGAAATGTTTATTGTTTACGGTTCAATCTTTGCTCAGAGGCGCAGTGAACATTAATTCTGGAATCCCGCCTCTTTGTCTCGAGCCCTTGTGCTATCTGTCTGTTACAGCAGGAGTTGATGTAAGAGGGTCTTCCCTCATTTTCCTCTCTGTGTTCACGAGAAGAAAATCCTGGAGTCCTCTTGCTCATCAGCCCCTTCTGATGCTGGAAGTGCTGAGGGCCTCTGGAGCCCATCAGTTCCACCTGGCCTGGGAGCGCCCAGACCTTTGAAAGGATTGGAGCCAGCAGTCCCCTGCAGGCTGTCACTCTGCAGGGGGCCTCATGGCCCGGTTGCGTCCCATGCCTCTCGGGTTTTGCTCTCCTCAGCTTCTGTCCCTCATACATGGTTCAACCTGCAGCTGGGCCTGGAGGCAGCATCTCTGGTCTCGCCTGTTCTCTGCCCCCCAGCTTCTCCGTCACAGGTAAATACCATTCTTGGTGTAGCTTTCTTCTTCCTCTGTAGTTTTGGTCCTCCAGCCTGCCTGGCAGTCTTACCTGCTTGCGGGGCATCCCACACGGTGCCACCTTAGGCAGCTGTGGTGTCCTTTTTGGTTTTTTTTCTCTCTCCATTTAGTCTGAAGCCTCATTTGTCTTGCTAAATATTTTGAATTTAACATAATGAAAGTAACTGCCTTTCCCTTTAAAGTATCAGTCACCCTAATATTTACACAATTGCATATAGGAGGTTTCTTTATTCACTTGGTTGGGTGTGTGCCTGGAATGCTTCTTGGCACGAGGAGGCAACAGGGAACAAGAGGGACAAAAATCCCTAACTCCTCATGGAATTTATGATCGCAGAGGCTCAGACTGAAAATAAATGAGTAAACACAGTTATCAGTCATGAGTGCTGTGAAGGAAATAAAACAGGATGGTGTGCTGGAGTGCGCTGGGGGCTGCCACGTCACAGCCCCGTCCATCTCATTGTTTCATCTGTAAAATGGGGCTAACACAGTCAGGTGGCCTTATTTTCGGCAACTGTTCTGTGAAGCCCAGTTGAACACTGGATTAGCAAATACTGGACCGCTGCTCCTGCTGCTTGCAGTGCTTTCATCAGCTGATCAGCACATAACCTTACGTTATTTGTGTTTTTGTTTAGAGACAAGTTATTTAATATTTGTTGTTGATTCATTAAAGTTGAGCTCAGGGCCAGCAGCACTATAATGCCTGCCTGAA